TGCATGCACTTAGAAATAGTACATTTGGTCAATGAGAATGTGTGCTTGAAAGCAAATCCGTTCTTTGCATATATTCTGAATGGTTGAGAATATGATTTAGGTTAATTCTTCAAGAAAATCCTCCTGGAAGTACAGAAAAGACAAATTACGTACATCTTCAGTTGAAATGTTATTGACTTCAACATCATCAGATTTAACTAAGATACAATATATATACTTAAGGTTAACTTTTCCTTTCATTAACTATAAAATGTAGCTTTTGGGTGTGCAGGTTCTTTGGGAAGCAACCCATTCGTTGAGGTCTCACTACCCGACGCTTGGCAGAACCTGAAGAATGGCGTCATCAAACAACTCTTCCAAATTAGCGTCAAATATGACAAAAACGCAAGTCATCATTTTATTTTGCAATTTTTTCTGAAGATTGGGTATCAATTAAAATTGGTTGTCATCTATCAGTTAAACTGAGTATTTACGATGCTTATATTCCTATATATTAAAAAAAAGCAGAGAAAATTTGTCAGTGGTGAATACCAGCTTCAAAGCATGATCATTTATGTTGAATGATTCTTACCTCAAAAGTCATCATTTAATTTCAAATAAAAATAAGCATGGACTTTAATCTGGCTTTACTTATGATTGTTGAAGTATGTATTTGTAAGTAATGTTTTCATCTAACTGCAGACCAAGACCTATACAGCTCAGGACATCACAAATGACGTGGTAGACAGTACAGACCTTCCTCCATCGTCAAGTACGCTCTAAAAAGGGTTACAAATAAGTGATTTACAAGATGTTTTATTAATCTTATTCAAAATAATCAACCAAGAGCCAAACATTTTTTTAGTTCTTTAATTTTCAACCACTTATAATCATTCGGTTTCCTCTTACAATAATTTCATTTTCCCAAAAAAATCTACCATTTTTTTAGGTCAATCCTTGCAAGGCATTTTGTCCAGAGCCTCAAAGATTTTCAATTTTCTTTTATTTATGTTGTGCATCAATTTTGATTCTAAAATTACTGAAAATTTCAAATCTGATAAATTCCAAGCAATCATTACAGTAAGCTTTCTTCCTATTGTAATCCTTGATATTTTCAGCTAAAACCCTCCAATCCTTTAAAAGTATGCCGAATAGATACGTTCCTAATTTTGACGACAACATCCTTAGTGGTCAGTCTATTGATGACTGCGCTCAAGCATGCGTGGACCAGACTTCCTTTGTGTGTCAGTCCTTTGAGTATGAATTGTTAACGGGCACCTGCTTCCTCTCACATCTTCATCCTGACGAACACCCAGGGGTCATAAAAGGCATTCAAGGAACAGATCTATACATAAGTAAATAAATATTCAAAACGGCTATAGATGCGTATTTCTTTAAAAAAATCTTCTCACTATTTCAAAAATAGTATTAATGATTGGAACATGATATCAACTTGCAAAATTAAATAAGAAGCAACTTTTCATGAATTCCAAAAAGATATAAACCGATTTTCAAAATCTTTTCATTGAAGGGGACTATACCAGTAAATTTACACAGCTCCCTGGTCAGACCGTCCTGTCTTCCTCTAATGTGATTTACCAACAAATATACGACACGAATCAATGCGCTAAGCTCTGTGATAACTACCAGGCATTCAACTGCAAGTCATTCGATTACTGCTCCGATATTGGTACATGTTTCTTGGGGAAAACACACGTGTTTGATGTACCAAAAGCCGATGTTATATCAAATCCTATGTGCAACCACTACTCAAGTATGTCGATCATGTTTCTGATACAACATTGTTGAATTTCAATGTTAAGCATCTCTTTCGTATGAAGGGATTGTACGTGATTTTACTAACAACCTCTATATATTTTAGGAAATTACATCGACGATTTCACAAAGACAGCACGCAAAACAATACAACTTGTTAATGATCGAGTGGTGACTGGGGTCACTTTGGCTCAGTGTGCTAAAAGTTGTGTGGATACTGAGGCCGGAAGTTGCGCCTCGTTTTCATATTGTGATATGCAGTCGCTATGCCGTCTCACCACTGGTTCCTTGAAGAACGTTGGTCAGGTGTCAGCGACAAATAGTGCTACCTGTGACCTGTATACAAGTAATTAAAACCAATAATTCTTCACAAATTTATCAATAAACCTAAAAGTGTAGATGGTTTTTTTTAAACTGATAATTCAGTTTTTCCTTAGGCCTTAAGTTTGTATATATAATATTCAGATCTTTTGTTGCCATACTTTCTCTATTTGATAAATTACAATCACATTCTCGGTAAAAGAGGTCAATATCTATAATTTTATGATTGTCTGAGATTGTTGCAGGACAATATTTCCCTGACGGGACAGGATACGTGTCCAACCCTCAACAGTATTATGCCAAGAAGGCAACCTCTACTAATGTGTCCTCAAGTAAGAATTCTTAATATCAGGTGATGTCACATGAATATCATGAATATAAAATCATTATCAAGTCGCAAAATTCGTTGTAATCATCTTTTTTTACGCTTTTTTTCTCAGTACCAATATATTTCATTTTCAAAATGCATATAAGGTTTAAAATTTTCGAGGTATTTATCAATACTCATATTGTTCATGTATAATTATGTATTTAATAGCATTTTATTATGCAATTCGCTTTTTTCAACTTGAAATTTCAGACTTATCTTTACATTTTTAGGTTCTGTAGCCGGTATAGCCGTTGCTATGGTGATTTTAGGAGTCCTTTTTACAGCCATAGGAATCTTTGTATATCTTAGAAGAACCAACAAACGTTTACAAGACATACGAATGCCATCACGTGACTAGTGTTGCTCATGTGACCTCATCGATCTCATAGCATAAAATGATATCACTTACCGCGTATTTAAACTGTATTTGGCTTGACATTTTTTTATTCTTCCCCTCTCCCTTCCTGTCCCTGAGATAAACACGTGAAGTTTCTCCTTTTAGAAAGATGTGAAATATGTTTGACATAGATATCATGTGGATATCAAAAAATAATATATTTTGTGTTGATTGCATATTGGAAAAATACCTTGATTGTGAATTTATTTGAAGATTTTGCAACTTCTCACAGGTTGTGTTTAAAACATTTTGTATGTTTTTGTTGATATTTTTGTTTGTTAAATTTGAATCCTCTATCCTGATATATACTCAATGAGATGCAGAATAGTTATATTTTTCTCATGAATATATCTAAAACAGCAAGGAGCAATGATAATATCTTTTAATAATTCGAAATTTATTGAAGTATACAAATGTACCTTTTGATGAGGTCGACCTTAGAGAAAGCATTACCAAGCACGAAGTTCTGGGTCCCTATGGATTATATTGAAACACCACTTTCCTTTTATTGTGTGTGTGTGTGTGTGTGTGTGTGTGTGTCAATTTATACGAATTATCTTTTCAATGTTTATTTCCATTATAGAAAAATTTCATGTTTGAAATCTTACGCCTTACCAAAAGGACATCTAGTGTCAAACAAGAGCTTATGGGGTTTTCATAAATCTAGTCTTTATTGGATTTTGTTATGTCACCTCCATTGTTTGTTTTTTTTTCATAGAAAATTGTTTCCTGTTATAGCAATACCTAATTATTGTTCTATTTTGGAAACGTAATAAAATTGCCTATTTAGATGTTGCGTTAAATTGGATAATGTAATCTAGTATGAGCCAACCTGAGAGGTGAGAAGGATAAAGAAAAATATAATAATAACAGGGTTTGTTGCTCTCATAATTGCATTTGAAAATGTCCATGCAAAGGCGATATACTTTAAAGTAAATGATAAATTATTGATAGAGATTTTGCAGTAGCACATGTTGTAAAAGATTTGAAATATGAGATGTTTCAAATTAAAGATATGTACAAAATTATTTTCCTCGATGTCGAATCTTTTCAGGTTGAAGAATAGACATGTAACATGACAATGTGTTGTCAATGTTAAAGCATTTTATTTTGTTATCCATTGTCTAACATTTTCTTCGATTACTAGTATTCCTTTTTTTGCGATCAAATAATTATCAACTGCTGCATTTTTTATAAAGGGATAAAGCAATGTGGAGATAACTGACTAAGACAATTTTTACAATTACTTCAATGTTAAACTATACTTGATAAACTATTTTGTATTTATCTGTATCTCTGTTTTGGTCTTTGATTTACTGTAGACGTAATTTTTTCCACGGAGTCATAATTCCGCGGAATCTCAATTTTTGTTTAATACGCGAGTAGAAAATTGCGCGGATTTATAATTGTAATTACATTTATATTCTCAAAGAAAATTTTTTAGCGTAAATTAATACCACGCGGAAAAAAGTACTTTTACAGTATACTGATCAAAGCTCTATGATTTATAATAATTAAATTCTCAAAGTTTTTCTTACTTAAGATTTCAAATTGGATACAAAGACTTCTATACCGAATACTTTTGTAAAGAAAACAAATAATATTGAACAAAAAAGGTCATAAAGACTGCAAAACATTTCAATACAGTGTCGATACAAATAATAGCCTTTTATTAATGTCATACATAATGAACGATTAGGAAGAGCGAGTTCGATACGAATTCTTTTTTCGTAGGGTCTTCATGTCTATGGAAATCAAATTAAAAGGTTACCTTGTTTTATTATTTTTTCCTAATAACTGAAAAAAAACCCTTTTTTGCATATTTACAAACAAGAGTTCATAAGTGTCTGTTCTTAAAAGATAAACATCCTGTATTTATTTTTAATTGTTACAGCTGTATGTTTCACAAAATATGAATTTTTTCTCAGAGTTTTTGCTCTAACCACTTTGTTCACTCCAAGAATTTAATAGAAATGATTACAATGGAATTTTATGAGGGTAATGATATTTTTATTATTTCTCGCAAAGTTTATTCACATTATTTCAAAAAATTAAAGGTGGTCTGTTTTGTGGAGGGATTGAAAGGGGGGACAAGAGAATAATACTGTAAATTCCATATGACCTATTTTCAAAATAATGAAAACAATGGTACCGAATTTTAAGTTTTATTCTCAAAGAAAAGGTTATCCTCTTCATAATATAATTATGTAGTCATCAATATTCTAATAATTCTCAACTGCATATACATGTATTAAGATATAAAAATATTTGATACATAAACTTAAAGGTTGGCAACAGAAAATGTTTATGAAGTTCATTTTAGTAGACATACCCTTCAAGCTACTTAAACATTTATAATGACAGTAAATTGATTTTGTTAGTAAATTCTAATAATTACAAAATACTACATAGAATTCCTAACCTACTGAAACCATTCCAAAAAGACTTTAAGGTCAGATCAAATAGAATTGAATAATAGCAAAACATGTATAGCACAGAGTACATATATAAATATCTTAGTTCGTAGAAAATATCATACTACATGTTCTTGTAAGTTAATGTTCTGAACAAAATATTTATGATAAGTAATTTATAAGGTAACATGACATTCGATTCAGTTTGCGATGAAAAATTTGGAAGGACACGTCCTCATTAAAATATTAAACAATCCAGATTCAGCATAACATAAATAAATTGGATATCACATGTATAATGTAAAGAATAATTATCATGTTTGACATGTTTAAAGGTGTGACTTCTGAACCTGTAAGAACATGAAGTATTGAGAAGGAAAATTACTAACGTTTTCTTTCTCTTGAATGATTATATGCTGTGAGAATTTTATACCAAAGAAAAAGTAGTAAAGTTCCAGTTGTCAGAAGAGTTAGTCTTTGATTCGTAATTTTAGCTTGACCAAAGATTGTATTTCATTTAAGTTTATCATAAATAAACGATACACTCCTCTTCCATATTTGACTAGGAATGTGTCCTTTATCTATAAATAGATATGTGTGTAGATTCAATCAACAAGAAATGTTATTAAAACAGGCCATAAATTTTCTTTATATTCATTTTTGTTGTTTATATAATTTTACCAACCATCCATATCATTCCCCCTAAGCAAATTGAGAACAATAAACTATAAATGTAGAATGGAAAAAATAAAGGCATCTCAAAATAAATGCTGAAGTATACTTTAGTCCGGATTTAACTGCAACATAGCTAAAACTAACGGATCTTTCACGGCGCCATCATAAAATTCTTCCCATGAAATATCTCCATCTCCATTGGCGTCCATTTTTTCGAATAACTTCCGGGTCATCTTTTCGGGAGTACTGACGTCATCAGGCTTTTTTATGGATGGGGTCATCTTATAGACCGCCTGTAATAGAAAAATTACTTCATTCTTTGCAACTTAAAAGGCACAAATTATCAATATTACTCTGATAATTTAAAAACACTATATTTCAAGGAAACGTGTGTGTGGTGTTTGCTTCCTTCAAAATGTTTTAAAAATAACATGCTTTACATCCCAAAAAAACAAGTTTCAAGTTTTCTGAAAGTTCTTTATACAAACATAAACGCAGATACTCTCACACACATGCACACAGTGCATGCTTTTACTTCTTTTTCATAATTCAATCATCTATATCTGCATTTCAATCAACACAGCGATTAATTATTTAATATACTCTAACATACCGAGGAGATGTGGTTACATGTATTATATCATTCTCTGTGACAAGATCAAGGAATCTACTAATTGATTTGGTACCGCATTACACGACTTCTGATAGAATCATAAAGCTTTCTATAGAAATCAATAAGGTTCCATCTACATATAAATTAAGTATTACGAAGGGGAAAAAAGTAATTATTCTCTCATCACTATCTTACCCATGAAATTGTTATCTTTAGAACTTAAGTGCGTTAGACTCATAGAAAGCAATCAAAGTAAAAAACAAAACCTTTGACTGTATATTCTTTTTCTACTTTTTTGTAGCTAGTATATGAAAATGACATTGGATATTTTAATGATATGATAAATTAAAGATTACCATGTGATTATACTATATGATAATATATAAATCGAGAATATGTAGATCATTATTACGCTTACCCTCATCATTGACGTCATTTCCTTTTTATCAATGAAACCATTTCCATCTATATCATACATGCTGAACGCCCATTTTAATTTTTTCTCAACGTCACTACTTGATGTCACGCTCAAACCAATCAAGAATTCTTTGAAATCCACTTTACCATTTTTATCTGAGTCAAAAGTCCTAAACACGTGCTCTGCAAAGGCTGTCGCATCTCCGCCAAATATTTTTGAGTAGACGTCCTTGAATTCTTTGACAGTGAGAAATCGGCCATGCCTGCAGCTTTTCTGATACTCCTCATACCATTCTTGTATTTCTTCGGCGCTAAAATCCACGCCACTCTTTTGTAAGTCTTCAATAGCAGAGGGTTTTAACCGTGATGTTTTATTTCCCATTTCGACTCTTCTTTATCTCCCATTCCAGTGTCTCTTTCTAAACAAACATACTATAGAGTGAGACCCGGAAGTATAATTATATATTAATCTTTTCAAAGAAATCTTAATGAATGTGAATTGAAATGTTTTATTGATATCAAAATTTTATACAACATCATGCATGCTACTCTTTTTTATACAGGTACATCAAAACAAAAACAAAAACAAAAAAACAGTTGACATACCTATGAATTCTCAATTCTTCCTCCACGCCATTTTAGTTTAAATTGACGGGTACCTTGACTAAAAGGTGGAATCGTTACTCGTATACCAGTAAACAAAATCGATCGGGACATTTAAATTCATGAATGTTTAGATATTGCAGATAACAAGAAGCCTTATTGAGAAGAGTTTTTTCCGGTGCATAAGTTCGCAAAAATACCCTGCAGTGCCACTGCCGAAAACCAAAAGAAATACAAAACGTTTAACGCTTTTCAAGGTAACAGAAACTAACCTCTGCTAAATCTGTAATTCTCTGCAAAAACAGATGTCACAGAAGTACCATTCATTTCAAGAAGACCTAATAAATAAAGTCATTTTTAACCACAAAATAATTTGGCTCAAATTTTCTCTTAATGAGTATGTGATTTTGTCATCCTTACAACGTGACAAAGAGGAAACGTTTATCGAAAGATAGACATATTATAGAAAAAATATTTTAGAATGTATTTAAATGATGAATTCCAATTCTTTATCTAATGACAAATTTAAGAGAATTCGTGGTATAAATGTGTCAATTTTGTTACATACAACGCATGTTTTCAATTTCAATTTGTATGACAGCTCTCCTTATTTTCTGTTTTCGCTATTCATTCAAGAAGCACTGGGCATTTGCCTTACAAATAAGTTGGATTGGACCCTGCTTTGAGTTATGAAATCATTGACTGCAATATCCGGAATATATTCAATAAAAGTTTATTCTTTTTGAATTCATAAACAGGATAGGATGAATCTATAATTAGATAAGCGTATACTTTAAATGGTACTATTGGTGTTTTCTTGAGCAGAAGGGGACTTGTCTATAAATTCTTTTCGATACAAAGGAAGCGTTGAAGAAGCCTCGTTATATGATCTGCTTACATGTAATTGACAGACCCGGATTCCGTAGGTTTCCCTAAGAGAGAAAATGTATTTAAACAACAAGTCTCACAAATATTTACAAAAGTCGTATCCAGGTTAATTCTGTGAACATCTTTGTTTGCACAAGAACCGGTAGTTTTTTCAAAGATCCGACACCTCACATGCAAGCGATCGAAACCTTAGGTAAGATGTGCAAATAAGGTTTGGTTTGTGGTTACGGTATTCTTCTTTATTATCGTCAGTTTAAAATACCTGAAAGAATAGGGCAATGCAGATTGATTTGATATTGGTATTTTAATTCTTAATGACTTCCGTTTTGCAGTATTTTGTGTCTTTCAAGAAACAGAATATAACGACGCAGCCATTGGGTTTTAACTAACAGTTCCTTGGTCAAGCAATGGGTCAGAACAACAGCCAAGACAAAGAGGGGGAACGAGAATTAATGCGGCGTCACAAAATTAATAAAAGCGAATTGGAATCTTTGAGAAAATTGTTCCGTGAACGATGTGGTGGAAAATATAAAGCACTGACAAAAACGAAATTCCGAGAGGTTTACAACGAGTTGTTTCCCGGAAAATCTACTCAGTATGCGGACGAGATGTTCCGACTGTTCGACATGGATGGAAACGGACAGGTGGATTTTGTGGAATTTGTAAGGAACATTTGTATGTGTGATAGTGACGATATTGAAGAGAAAATTGAGATTGCTTTTGCTTTATATGATAAAGATAATAGTAAAACGATAACACAGGCGGAAGTGAGGAATATGTTAGAGGTAAGAAATGTATAAAGTGTGCGACTTTTAACAAAGACCTCTCCAACACTTCAGATTGTAAAGAAATAGTTCAAGTTTCTTCACATATTGCCGATCTATTCATGGGATTTAATGACTTTGTATTCTAAGGAAACTATCTTCTATAAAATTCACTTGGCTGATCAATTCATTTTTGGTTGTGAATTGTTCTTTTTTAGGCTTATACAAATATGTTGGGTGTTCCTTTAGAGGGCGGGAAAACAGGAGCCCAAATTGCCAAAGAATTCTTCGCAGAAATGGACGCTGATGGTGATAAATCTGTGACATTTGATGAATTTCAGCACGCAGCAAGACGAAACTCCGCCATCTTAAGCATAGTTAACCCTAAACCTCCTAACTGGGGTGACTAGATTCAATTTTGTGCCATGAGTGGGCAGTTCTTGGCGCCACCGATGTGTTTACTATGACAGATTTGAGAACTTTCACGTTTAAACAAACCGTGAGTGTTCGTAGAACAAACACGAGAGTTTATTTTACGTTAAAGAGTCTTCTTGACCATTCGCCATGTCTTTAGATACTTGTCATAAGAAATTTAATGAACAGTTTTAGGATATTTAAGCAGAAATTCTGTGAGATAATTGTGCATGTAAAATACTAAAAAAAATACACTTATCTAATTTCTTATGCATGTCAAGGACTAGTACAGTGTCATTATGATTTTACAGGGCATAAGCATGATTTCTCCTTAATTATTTGTTTTACTGTTAACATTTTTGTCTTTACAATAAAGTATGTCATAAGCTGTATATATATATATGTACGATTAATGATATTTTAACTTCTCTATATCATATATTTCCCCAACGTGGGTAATTTCTTTCAAAACCAACGTTAACTTTTCTTTCAGTATGGCTCTTTCAAACACAAAATTAGCCTTTTATTTTGCCAAAAATATTAGTTTATTTGCTAGCATACTGTAGAAGTACTTTTTTCCGCGTGGTATTAAATTTTGCTATGTACGCGGTCACAAATTCTCCGCGGAAATTTGTCCAAGCGGAGTTAATATAAATGTAAGGCAAATAGTGACAGTCTAGGAAATCCGCGTAATTTTCTACCCGCCGATTAAACAGACATTGAGATTCGGCGTGGAAAAAAGTACGTCTACAGTATTTCAAGTATACCAATATCAAATACCTGCAACACCGTGAAACAACATGAACAAAACAAAGTTCAAATACGTGATTAAGTGTATAAATAGGTGGAAATTTATCATCCTTGCCAAAAAGCTTTATGGCTTTTTTTAAAAAATATTTTATACAGCATTTGTTTTACAGCTTGTTTTCATTTTCCTGTTAAAACATATATGTCTTTGTTTATTTTTTTTTCTTATGAAGAGTTCAATTACTGCAGTACCCACCTTTAATTCTATATAAGGCTTCCATTCCTCGTTAGACACTTTTCGTTCCGTATATTCTATACTATAGGAGTGGACTCCACATTATATTGCTATTATTGAGATAAAGAATTGTTGTCTTTTATGCAATAAAAGATTGCCTTATTTGTATTTGTTTAACTGCTTGATCAGTCATTTGTTAGCGATTTTTTGAAGATTATCGATCCGAAGAGTAGATATTTTCTGCTATTGTTTTAAATTTCACTTCCTAAAACACAGTAGTAGAAAAAGGAACAATTTTCCTTCACTGCGTCTACAAAAATCTTTAAAAGAGCACAAAATGGGCCAAAAACACAGTAGTTTGGACGAGGATTTAATGCGGCGTCACAAGATTAACACAAACGAGCTTGAAGCTCTGAAAAATTTATTTCGCGAATGGAGTGGCGGGAAGCATAAAACACTGACCAGGACGAAGTTCAGAGAGGTTTACAAACAAGTGTTTCCGGGGAATTCATCTCAGTTTGCAGACGAGATGTTCCGATTGTTTGACGATGATGGGAATGGTGAGGTGGATTTCGCCGAGTTCGTCCGCTACATCTGTCTGTGTGACAGCGAGGATATCGAAGAGAGAATTCAGGCTGCCTTTAGGTTATATGATAAGGACAATAGCGGGACCATAACGCAAGCTGAAGTGGGAGAGATGCTGGAGGTGAGAGTTCCCAAATGCCTTCCGAATTACAATCTTTCACGTGTTGTTTTTATCTTTTGTGTTTCTTTTGATTTATTTTTGGCAAACATGCATAAATGTCTTTTTTCTGTGGAGAGATGTAATATATTTTGTGTTGTAGGCTTATGAAATGATGTTAGGAAGTTCAATTGAAGATGGAAAGAGTGGACGTCAGATTGCTGAAGAATTCTTTGAGGAAATGGACGCAGACCACGACGACTCGGTTACATTGGAGGAGTTTACACAGGCCGCCAGGCGAGATTCACGTATCCTCCATATAGTGACTCCCAAACCACCAACGTGGACTGACTAGTGTCTTATAAAGGGTTTTGATACAAGACTAAAAATTCATTTGTTATTTCTTGAAAAATAGTTTTATGTAAGACAATCAAACTTTTGCAATACATTACACCAATTGCTCCAATTGCTTGATGAACAAACACTCCATCCATCATCTTATTTAAATAAACGTGCTCAGAAGTATGTATTGCAAGTACATGAATTTAATAAAGTGATGGATCGATATACGACTTTTAATAAATTTATATGCAAATTGTATAATTATTGTACGAGGGCTGTTCAATAAATAATGTCCTGAACTGTATGACATACAATACAGATATCACATGACATTAAGCTTGACTTTCCCTCATTATTGAATCTTTAATAAATTTATACCAGTTTATGTGACCACTTTTCATCACATAGTTTCATTGTGAGAAGCTGGAAACAAGGGCTATTCGAGACACTGCATTATAAATGAATGGTAAAGAATCAGTAAACTAAAGTGAAAATAAAAGCTTCATTAAAGCTGCTGTAAAACTTGTTAAAAATCCAAAGAAATATTTACTGAAATATGGGACAGTTACAACAACCAATGTCTATTTTATAGACAAATAAGCAGATGAATTTTAATGATGAAAAATTATATAATGGGCATCAAAAATGGATACTGTCCTTGCCAACAATAAATTATAACACCTTATGTACTGTTTGCTAAATTTCAAGAAATAATATTTGATGATGCATGATTGACTTTAAGAAACATAGCAAAGATAGACATCATATCGGGAGTAGTTTACACTGTTTTTAAGAAACGTTTGACGGTAAAAAAGCTTAGTACTAAAAGGTCACCCTATATTTTGAAAAATGATTGTAAACGACAGCGTGTACGAATGTCTTAACAATTATTTCAAAATATCAGTAACTGTAGTTATCCACGATTGTTTGATATTCAAACAGATAATGGAACTTGAATCTATTGCTTAAAACCCTCAAAACAAAATTTACCATAACATGTTCTTGATAAAAACAGCGAAGGTCTGACAAGAGCAAAGAATTGCAAGAGCACAAAGACAGATTAATGTGCAATTTTCTTAAATATTAGTGATATTGTTGTTCAAGTTCGTATTCGGGGAGACAGTTTAATTTCTGGAAGAGTCTACAAAGCAAATTTTTTGCAAAAAAATCGAAAGGTTTATTAGAGGAAGGACCCAGAATTAGGAATCCACTATGTTAATTTCTTCATGGCAGCGTCCAAACCCGCACGTCCTGAAGAGTAAAGGGGTTTTCGGGATAAACAGAAAGTTAATGTTTTTTCACATTAACAATATTCGCCAGATCTTTGACCTTTTTACTTGTTTCTATTTCCAAACTTGAAAAAAAAACACCTTTCAGAAGGAAGAAACAAGTCCAGGAAATCATTGGATCTGCTATTTTTCAGTATACCAAGATGAGTTCTAAAATAATAAGAAATTGGATAAAAAATGTTACGGACATGTGTTTTAACTAAAAGAGATTAATAAGTTAAATCATGCAGACTAAATCATTGAAAAGCGTCTTTTGCTTCTTTCCGAGCATCGAGGTCATTATTTATTGAGCAGCCCTCGTATGTTTACTGTCATGATCAGACTTGTAGGAATTGCCGTGTTTCCACCAATTAACGCGACCTACGTATTATAGAACATCGTATTTATTTGTATATAGAACATTGTGTTGCTGTGGGGCGTATTGTATGGAACTCAGCGTTTAGACTGTGTACAGTTGCAGTACACTTGTACAAGATTTGAACATTGGTAAGTTCTTTTATAAAGGTAACAATATCCAATAGAACATCAATGTTTTATTATTATTACTGTGAAATCACTAATTTTCGTGGGGGTTTAATTTTCGTTGTTTTCGAGGTATGGAAAGGCCCACAAATTTATGGCCACAACGAAATTTTGACCCCACGAAAATGTGAGATTTCACAGTATTAGACAATTTGTATTTAATGGATATTTTGTTTGTTTTACAATTCTTTAGGTACATTTTAAACAAAAATATTTAGGGTTTGTTTTTATTAAACAAAAATATTTAGTTGTTTTTTATTAAACATAAATATTCAGGAGTTGTTTTATTGCCATTTATGTTTACCCGACATGATTAAAGGGACATAGACATACTTCCTTTGTCGTTTTACGTCCAACTATGAATTTCTCTTTAAATTCAGTTAATTTATTTTTTTTTTTAAATTACATGAAAAGTTTTGCATATCTTTTTAATTATTATCCAGCTTTGACACTGTGATTGTAAACCTGGGCTTAGAGCTCGGTTATTTTTACTGGGTGTTCGATTTTCTACTGCAATTTTTATAACTTAACACAGGCTGACAACATGATGTGTTTTCATGTCATATTTTCATGTCTTATTTACAGACTACAGATCCCTCTTTTCTCAAATATTAGGGATAAATTTAGTATGTAAACGTGCGAAGAAAATGCCCCTAAAAATAAATAACTCTTAGATTTGAAAATTTTCTGATCAAAAAAGTTTCTGAAATTTATAAATACATGTATCATTGCTATGAAACATTTCCAGAAGTTGTTGAAGTATAAAAAGTTTCAAAGGCCATTACAACTGTGCAAAAAACAATCGCCTACAGCTTTTGGTCTTGGCGGTTAAGCTATTTTTATTATTTATTTATTTTTTTGGTAAAAACTGATCCACGTTTGTGTTTTAAAGTAATTATCTTCCTTTAGAACGAGCAGATTGCTCTTTGCTTCAACAAACTTGAATCCCCTTATCCAAGGATATTTTATGCAATTTTTGTTGTAATTGGCCTTGATTTGGAGAAGTAGAAAATGTAAAAAGTTAACAGACAGATAGACAGCTATAGTCCAATCCCCACTTTTCAAATATTATGTCCCTTGGCCGCCATCTTAAGGGATAAACCCATACAATCCACACAGTAACCTTTGTAGTTTTCAGGTTTGTAACTTTTGACTTTAAAAACGCTCTGCCTTTTGTGTACTGATTGCCCCAAGATGGGGCTACCCACGCATTGAAAGAAAAAATATTAAACACAATGGATTTATCACAGCACGTCCAAATATTTGGTAGCATAAAGAGGAGAAATGAAGTTTCTTTCCCTTCCTTTTGGTTGAACCCGCAAAGGGAAACAACTTTTGCAAAGTGTGGATTGGACTATTAAAACAATCGAAACTTCTTTGCAGGGGGGGGTAAATATTATCTATGTTAACTATAATAAAGTTTTGTCGAGCAAATACTGTAATGTCAAGAAATTTAATTAAAAACAAGATAATATTGTAGAACTGCCCTGTTCTTCTAAAAATGAGAATATTTAAAAATACTTTATCTACTTTTATTCATATTCTTCTTGTTATAAAAATAATATGTATCTGCTGTATAATATATCAGAAAACTAATTAATATTTTCTCGAAATATACATCTTAACATGAGAATGTAAATTGTATATAAGTAAAAAAAAGTCTATAATCATATTGCTAAAAAATGCATACATAAACTTAGAGGAAATTAATTAATCTATAGCTACAAAGTATATCATTGCAAAAAATTATAAACATATATATTCTACTAAATTGCAAGACAAAGTAAAAAACAAAGATCACAACACAGTTAAATATTATGAAATGTGGACAGAAGGTACAGTGTAATGTTGAAATGGAGTCACTTAAAATGTAATGATAGCAATAAAAAAAGTAATAACACACACAAAAAAAATTAAATTAGGAACACTGAAAGAAGTGTGAAAATACAATGTACAGAATATCAGTAAACATGGTTTAATTAATTAATACAATATATAAGGTAAAATATCAAAAGCTTTTCTTTAAACAAGGTCCCATACATACCTACAGGGTGCAAAAGGGGGAGGGGGTATACCAAGATAAAGATTCTATACAATAATATTACAGTGTATGATAAACCACGATACATACAAGTTTTATTTGTTTAAAATGTCTGAAGAAATCAAAGAAAGTACCTATGTTTAAACAAGAAATGTTGCTTTTATTATTTTATTGGTTATGGGACTTAGTACTATTTCTTTTGTTTTTCCATAAATATGTACATTGTTTACATTTTTTGAGTTTATTATGCAAAATATTTCACAGTAAAGGAAATTACCCTATTTCAAAAACAAGATGTAAATAACTTTTCCAAAGTAACTACTACACATAAAAAAATGCACACAAGGCCTTCATGGCTTACCTATTTAATATCAAACAAAAAATATCCTTGACTTATAAAATGGAGACATTTAAAACATTCAAAATACAATGTAATTTATTGAGCAAATACAGTGCTTTGGATTTATAGGTGAAATACATCCACCAAAAATGTCTCATAACAATTGCCTCTGTACTTAAATTTCTGAAGCATTCCAAATTCTTCTTCAGAGAAATCACCCTGAATAATGCATTTTTCTTTTAAATTTAGCATTTTTCATGAGTTAAAAACTTTCGTTTCCACACGATATCTGAATGCCTAATGAAGACCCCTATTGATTTTGAGGTCAAAAGGTCAAAGTTCAAGGTCGTAAATTTATACACCATTTCAAGAAGACATGTTATGATATAACATCAAAGTGCTGAATATATATATTTAACTTTTTTTTTAAGAACCTTTCTTTTTTTTTTTATTATTTTTTTTTTACTAAATGATAGTAAGCATGTGAAATGAAAAATTTAAATAAAATCTAAAGTGTGTACATATAATGAAGAATAAACAATCAAATCTTTATATGCATATTGACATACATGTATTTTATTTGCTTCAGTATACATGTATACATTTAATAATTCTACAAATTCAGTCAGGGGGAGCCGACTTTTTCCCTAAGCGGGGGACACGAATTCTCTGAATTAGCTTGTTCTTTTAAATTTAGCATTTACATGTTCATGAGAATGAATGAAACCTGATATAACATTGAATATATATTTAACTTTTTTTCTAAGAAACTAAAGAAATAATCTAAATGTACATGTTTTCAATGTATGATAAAAAAAAAGATACATGTAAATAAAAAGAAAACAAAACCTAAATATAAACAAGTCAATATAACATGAAATGATCAGCATATTTACAGATTCATAGTCTATAAAAAATCTATTATGCCAACTTATTCTTTAATATCTTTTATTCAATATCAAAAATGTATATTTACTTATGCAAAACTGGGCATATTTGGAAACAATAAAGAGGAAGGATTTCAACTATAATCACATTATATTCATAGCTCTGGTTTGATTTAGTGTATAGCTTTTCAGTTTACCATGATGTTATCCTGTGAGGAAGGGAACACTTTCTGTTGATATCTGATCTAATTTATTCCCACACTTATCATTATAGCCAGCGTAAAACCAAGAATCATGAGAGTGTGCAATCCAATGGCTACTTTCTTGAATGGTTCCCCCTGTCAGTGAACAATAAAATTAACATCAATTAATTAGTGGGAAAAAATCAAAATAAGAAACAAGAAGCTGGGAAAGTCATATTGATGTAGAAGCATAAGTTATAATTAGGGATGGCAATTTGTAACCGGTTAATCGATTAATCGGTCGGAACGATGGTATTTTATCAGTTAGAAAATCTATGATCGGTTAGTTGGAAAAATTTAATACAAGTGAAACTGAACAAAATTTTCTTAAATTTCATTTTTAAAATGGAAATCTCTGCATAAAAGTTGATAGTTTAGCATTTTTACTAGGGATGGCAATCAAATGGAGAATTGTTAATTGGTTAACCGCAAGACATTCCGACTGATTAATCGGTTAATCGTATCAAAATATACATTTTCTAATTTTCTTGACAATTTTTATTTTCAAGTAGCTCTATTCAAGTACACAAAAAGACTGAAAATGACAGAATTTTTATAAATTTTACTTGCTCTGGTCAGAAAATTAAAGGTTCATATTTTATTTAAATTTCAGAGGACAAAAAAAAATTTAAGAAAAACGTAAAAAAAAAAGTTGATAGAAATCATTGATAACTTTCAAAGCCGATGTCACACAAGTTTATCCTGCGTTGTCACAAAAGCTAATCTAAATCTGCCCTTGATTCAGATAACATTTTTGAATTATTTAATTGGATAGATAACTGAAAACAACAAATATACCAATTTAGAGAGATTAGAGGGATTCATTTTTTAAAATTATTTAAGAATTATAGTACTATCAGGGTAACAGCGCGGTGTTTTCACAGTAATCAATACTAAACAAAACTGACCAATTACCTCAGGGTCCCTATGCGGAGAGCCATAATTACCTTCAAATCAGCTTAAATAATTTTGTTTATTAGAAAAACATCAGATAAGTTTAAGTTCAGACAAAGTTTAGATTATGGTGACATTGAAGAATGAATTTGTGTGACATCTACACTAAAAAAATATCTGCGTCTGATTTCTCAGGCAAGATTCACAGTTTTCTTATTTTTTCTTGTCTAACCATTGAAATAGAAAAATTTATTTGTACATATACATGTACATTTCTGACCAAGATTATGAGCAGAATGTTTCTACATGTAACTTCTAATATCTCTCTTTCAATCTTCATGTGTAAATGAATTATTAGATACATGTATCTGAAAATGAATTTTTTTAAAAATGCGTATTTTGATACAATTAAAAAAAAAAAAAAAAAAAAAAAAAATGGTTAATCTGTCGGAACGTCTTGCGGTTAACCGATTAGCAATTCTATAATCGATTGCCATCCCTAGTTATAATATAAACTTTTTGCTTCCAATCAAATGACCCAATATAACCAAAATAAGATTAATTTCTTTATTTACAATCTGCACAGCAACAATACAAATTTCAGAAAACTTTTGTTAACAAATACTTTACTTACCCGGGGAACAACTGCTGAGGAACTCTGGTCAGGTTCAGATACTTTCTTCATTTCATACACAGATTCTCTGTCTAAATAAAAAGCATAACAGACTCTTTACTCTATCTTCACTATAGCCGCAAAACTGAGAAATCAGTGATGTTTGAGCATTATTGACAATATTTGACAAATAATAAAAATTAGGTTACATCCTCAGATAATAACCCTTTCATTTAGTTTTTACCAAGAAGAGTTCTTCTAAATTAAGTTACATGTACATCCTCAGCTAATAACCCTTTCATTAATTAATTTAGTTTTTACCAAGAAGAGTTCTTCTAAATATCTTTACTTTAATAACAAATTAAAAGACAAAATAAGGAAATAATATAATGTATAAATAAGAATACAAAGAAAGATGATGAGATGTAATAACATACTGCTATTTGCTCTGACAACAAAACATTCATGAAACTCCAGCACTAGTTCTATAAATAGCTGGTACGCTGTATACGCTGCCAGAATGTATACTACATATTCTGGTGCATCAGCTCCGGACAATGTCACTCCGATGAAAATTGTGATCACTGAAAACAGATAAAATAATAAGTCAAACAGGCTACAAAAGGATTTTTAAAAAAGATCTTTGAAAAAAACACGTTATAATACATTAAAAGAAACCCAATGTACATCTATTTATACATTGTTTATGGATGCTCTTTGTGTCTTTTGGAGTAAATTCTGCTATATATCTAAGGGTGTGAGACATTGAGGATAAACAAAATGAAATTCAAACGGCTGGGATTTCCAACTCACTTCAACATGTATCCTGATATTTGAGATAGGGATAATAGAGATAACAATGTTCAGCTGTAATTGACTAATTGTCGAACTATGAGTACTATTTTTGTCTCTAATGAGAATTCTTGAAACTGTTGAGGAGAATGACCAGTAACTGAGATCTGTATGACTGTACCTGCAAGTATACGGGCGGTTGTTCCCACAAACCAGTGAGCCCAGTTGAAGATAATTCTATTTTTGTCATCAGGGTGGGGACGAAACAAAGCCATCAGTGGCTAAACAAAAAAAACAAAATGTAACAATGTAAATGTATATATATACTAGATCTTATAAAATTACATAATACAGCATACAATGTTGCATTTTCTGTAATGTCTAAGTACATATGTACTTACATTCATTATGGTCAGGGCAGTCACTATGACCCCCATGTAGGGGTGTGCCTTTTTGAAATCATCTGCATCCCCAAACTGTTAAATACATGTATAAAATAACGGTATGGATGAAGAAAAAAATTAAATCATATAATAAGTTTATAATCATCTTGATTTTCACTCTGTATCTACAAAATGACAATACATGTACACTATTTCTTCTTGTTATTTCGAACATTTAAAGCTGAACATGACTCATAAAAGAATTTTTCTCCCATATTCTTTAATTCTGTCAAAATATCTGAGGCCCCTGTATAAGCCATGCACTGTATTCACTTACATGGATGATAAATTTAACCATATATACAGCTACGACCTTTGACCCTTAAATAGATCTGTATATACCGTATATACTTGCCTATAAGTAGGTTTTCTGGGAGTTAAACTATGGTCCAAAACTATTAGTCCGACTTATAGGCGTTATAAAAAAGGTTGGAATCTTTTATGGTCAATCCCTCTCATATAAGGCCAGATAAAATTAAAAATTCAACTGCCCCCTTAAAGGCCCCGGCGTTTTTTATTTTGATTTTTGAGTGTTAATATAAGCATTTTCATGTATTTTTATATATGAAGTTTAAGAGTTATCTCCCGTCTGTATTAAAAGTCGCGTGTCGCTATTTATAGCAAAAGAGCCATGTGAAGAATGGAGAAAAATCGGTAATAAAAGCGGTTTAAATATGTAAGGAAAAGATTATTTGTCAGTATAGAGAAGGCAGAGAAAAATAATAGCATAAACACATCTAGATACCATCACTGGCATGGGCAAGTTTTTAAAGATTTTTTTAAAACTAAGTATGAAAATAGACATGGAAAATGACACCTGATCAAGTTTTAACGATCTCCAACTGTGTGTGATTTTGATTTGAAAAAAAAAAATAATAAAACATCGTAGGCAGACTTTAGAGAATGTTTAGTGCTAAGAAAATATTAAATCTTAAAACTGTTCAGGCCTAGTTTTTTTCGGTAGGATATTTTATTAGAATATTTTATAGATTTGGTAAATATGACTTTTATTGTCGAACATGTCAAGTCTCTAGAAGGATCCAATTTTTTAGGAAGGTGGAAATCTATAATATTTCACAGAAAACAGAGGGATTTGAAGGTAAAACTCAAGGGTATTTAGGGAAAAGCAAATCATGCATACAAAATTTATGTCAGAACACCTCATTTTGTTTTGCATGTGCCGTATATGTGTACTTGATAATTTGTTAATAAACAATAAATAACTAATAATTTAAGCAAGAATTTTCATATTTAAAAGAATATGAAAAAATAAAATATATTCATATTGGCATTAACATAATGAAAAAATGTGTACGAAGAGTCAATGTTTTCTTGATACTTACAATTTAACAATTATAAAAAATAAATAATAAAATCCGCCCACCCGCCCCAATTTTTTAGCAAATTAGGATGAGAATCTAAAGATTAATTTTACCTGGCCTAAGCTTAAAAAATTCAACTGACTTATAGGCGGACCAACTTATAGGCGAGTATATATGGTAATACTTACGTCGCTCCATCCTTCAACTTGTACAAATATAACAACAAAGGCAGCCACAACACATAACAGAGTCATGACCATCAGAAAACGGTGTATCTACAAAAGTAAGAACAATGTAGATCTAGCTCAAATAAGTAACAACGAACATGACACATTTTAAAATTAACATCATTGGACCATGCTTCATAAAAATATCTCGCTTCAAGTTCAAACTAGAAAACTGACCAGTCAGCAAGGGCCCCACCATGGGGTAGAATTAAAAGGGGGCAGCTTATGGAATGATTAAAAAATGTACGAAGAATAAGCAACAGCAACTGTATTCTTAAAATTTCAAGATAATTCTTGAATATTCAAAAACCTGAAAATAATATCCTTGTATTTACATTAGGCAGTAAAGAACAAATTAACAATTGAATGTATATTTAAACAATTATGAAGCCTGTGTTATATAAAATGCCAGCCTTCAATGAATGCAAATATCATGAAGGCTTAACCTTAACTTCAAACAAACAGCAGTTGCAGACAAAGGTTTTCATTAATCTTAAAGTGACAGATAAAAAAAAGCCTATTAAATTAAGAGTAAATTAAATTTTCTGCAGCAAGCTAGATAATTAATCCCAAGGGATTAATTGTACCTCTCACATCTTTTTCTTCTAAAGTGACATTAAGAACTTTTTCAGTATTAATGATAGAATGGGGTTTTTATACAACTACCTTAAAAATTAATAATATTCTTGAATTAACATTAAGTGAAAAAAAGTAAATCAAAAACTCTCTTTAACCTATTTCTTGTTTTTAGAATTCAATGAATTCATAACTATTAAACAAAAATATTAAAATTATAAAAATTTATATTTAAATCCACATTTCGGAGTGTTCATAGCATTCCAAATTGACTTAACTTCAAAACAAACTTCATTTGCAGACAGAGGTGGTAATTCATCTCAATGTGACAGATAAAGATGATGTTCTGGATTTTCTTCAGCAGGAAAGCTAATTAATCCCAAGGGACTCATAGCAGCATTCAGTTTACAATGGGAACATCTTCAGCAGTTATCTCTCTTTGCCAATGCATTCTTATAAAGTTAAGGAATCTACCCCACCACCCCAGCTCCAAACCAGGGGACATAGAGAACAAAACTTAGCATCAAAACATGTATTTCTGCCTACTGAACTACCATACCAAATTTGTACTTGACTGGACAACCAAAAAAAAAGTTGGCCATTCATTCTTATGCATAGTTAAGGAATCTACCCCACCACCCCAGCTCCAAACCAGAAGACATAGAGAACCAAACTTAGCATCAAAATATGTATTTCTGCCTACTGAACTACCATATCAAATTTGAACTTGATTGGGCAACCATAAAAAAAGTTATTAGAAAAAAACAGAAAAATTGCGGGCGGAAGAGTGACAGACGGACAGACAGACAGACAGACAGACGGACGGACAGACAGAGTGATTACTATAGGGCACCCGCAAATCCTTGCGGGGCCCTAATTAAATTTATATGTACACGTTTGTTTAGTTTGCTCACTTGTTTTTCATAACTTAAATATCAAACTCTAAACTGATTTCTTCAACAATTCAGATTAAAATAATATGAAAAATACTCACCTGAAACCAGACCTTTTCCCCAAGTAGTTTTCTATCCGCCCATACTGGCTTATAGTACCGGGCCAGCACCACCCCTACACTGGCAAAGAATACCCAGGCCGCAATCATCAGCAGACCTACAAATAAGGGGGTAAAGTCAAAATACAATCCTGTGGATTTTTTTTACTGGGGTGGACCCTCTAGAAAAAATTCCTGGATCCGTACCTGCAAACAAAAATAACTTGACTTGTGTTCTATAGTACATACCATGAACCTTGATGAGGATTTGAACAGCTGATCCCCCAATAACTTGTACAGACTGGAAGTCCACAACACTGGGAGATATCTTTGGTGTGGTCGAATGTTTTCTTTTGTCTGAAGTTATAAAGGACATAATATCAGGTTAACAGTGGCTAAGAAACTTTGACACCAAGTTTTACACTACCAATTCATGTACATGTACAATTAACTAACTTGGTCTCAGTTAGTTTTGTAGTATGAATAGCCTAAAAAAATTGAAAAAAAATTATCATGTACCCCTAAGCTCAGTCAATGCTTCTGAAGCTGGTAATTGTGAGGTAGGAAAACAATATTTCATCTGATGATGGCCAGGTAAGTTTCTGGTGACTGTCAGATAAAATATTTTTTCTACCTGGGACCTACAAGCTTCTGTACAATGCTCTTGTTAATAAGTTCTGAAAGGATAAGTATGATTAAAACTACACAGCAGAAATGTTTCATTCAATTTACTGTACCAGGTCCTGATAAAGCTCCGTTGGCAAAGAAAAGATAGGAATCGACATCAAGATTGAGTGACGCAGACTTCAGTAAATTAAATCCACACAATAGGACACTACCGTCTACTGACCCCTGGGTCGGCTGTAAATCGGTCCCCGCCTACAGATACAAAATAGTAAACAATTTATAGCTATATTTGTAGTAAATACTTGGTATTTGGTAGTTGGCTTTAATTATGTACTGTCCAACACACTAAATACTGTATGCAGGGTTATTTTTGCCCATGTTATTTTTGCCTTTTCACACTTTCAGACAATTTCAGTATTTCACCTCATTTAAATTTGTCCAGTCATAGTTTTAATTATTTACGTACTAAGAAGGAAGAAGAACCCCTTGATGAATGGTCACATCCCGCACATGTGCTCTTTGTCATTATTGGCCAAATTCATGTGTGTAGATAGAGCTAGGATGGATTGAAGGGGGGAGGGGCTGACATGGATTTTGCATTGCTATTGTTTCCTTCTGTATGTATGTATAATGGACTTCTTCCAATCTATTTCTGAATCTAAAGGAAACTTTTTAACCTGAGTTTCCGATAACGTACACCCGTCAAAAACCGAATTATCCGGCTACATCAACCTTGTTGACGATAACGTTTTCAACTAACGAGATATTTTAAATGACTGTTAACTAACCCTTAATTTGGATTTTTAATCTCAGTTTGCTGATCTAAATGTATCTGATTGTCCATAGAATAAATAGACCACTTTGTTTGGTAGAATAAACTAATTTTGAATTCTACAGAAGTTAAAATGTGATGACATATTCCGAAATTTTTGTAAAATATCATTTGAAAGAGCTGTAGATCTTTTAAAGAGAGTGATTTGGTTTATGCTTTCTGTTGCTGAAAGTATAATCAATTATCTGTCATAGATCACAAACTTCGTTTGCTGAAATACAAATTTATTGTTGAAATATGAAATTTAAAATTACCCACATTTTCTAGACATTGCTTTTCTTGAACTGAGTGTCCGATAACAACCGAGTAGCCGATAACACGTTGAGCAGTGTGTTATATTGTATTCTTTGAATTTGCCCTGTTTTAAATTTGCCAAATTGAGGATGGGGCAAAATGGGTAAAAATAAAATGGGGGCAAAAATTTCCATGTATACAGTATTGAAAATCAGAAAAAAGACAACAGAAAATGGTGTCACAAGACTCACTAGAGGGGTGGGTGGACGTTTTCCCGTATTCTGAGATCTGTACATTTTGACAGCACCTGACAGCTCTTTATGACACTCTACCACTTCATCATTGCCCTAAATAACAAAATATACATATAAATCCACAATATATCCAAGGCTATTAAGTGTATCACACAGACTATAAAGAATTAAGCTAGGTTTATCATGATACACCGTGAGTGACTGTAATTTTAAAACAATTGACTTCAAATGGATAAACATCTTTCTCCCATAATCAACTGTATTTCACGATATTCCAAAGTTTTTTTCCCCCCCTGTAAATCTAAGATATTACTGTGCAGTTTGTTGGGGGACATAAATAACAACAGCTGGAAATGTGGCAAATTATCCCATGTTTTCAACTATTGAAATGCACAACAACTAAACAGTGATTTCATAAAGTTAAAATAATCAAGATATCTCATCATAAGAACTTTGCTTACGACTGTGTAAAATTGATATACTTTCTGAAAAACCAACATAGATTGCTGATCTTTATAAGGCACCTTTATTTTGATGTGGAGTCCTATATATATTTCCCCCTAACCAGTTCCTAGCAGATAGAATTATATAACCTCACCATTTTCACATCCTGGGACAGTCCAATGGCAGTCCACCTAGATGTGTCACTCCCAAGGTCAAATTTCATGGTGAAGGCCACAGAGCTTCCCATGTCCTTCCAGGTCACCTCATAGGTACACCCACTGGCGCAGTCGCTGTAGCAACCACGGGTCTTTCCGCACTCAGGATCCTGGGAAAACTGTCCAGCCTACACAAAAAATACAGGAAAGGGTTTCAAATAAAACTTTATTTTTGAACCTAATGCTTAACTTGTTCATCACATAGTCTATGCTGAAGCTGTTTTGTTGAATGATGTTGGTTTTTAACTTTTTAAGTCAATTAAAGTATTAAGTCAATTAAGTATAGAATACTTATGGCATTCTAATATGACATCAAAATATGTATTAAGTGGCTAATCATATCCTGGGCACACTATACAAAGCATGTTATATCAAAATGTGAGTACTGGTTTACAAGTCATTTAGCTTTATCGAAGTCAAAATAGATGCATTTTCATAACCTTATTTGCACAGAAACTAACTTTAACTTACTTCAAATTAGTTTCTATGTAAATGTTGAGTTTTCCACGATAAGTAAACATTATATACTTACAGCTTGTGATTGGACAAACTGTCCAAAGAACAAGAAACACAGAGAGGTAATTGTCCACATTGTTAACATCACGTCAAGATACTTAGAATTCCTCAAATCTACAACAACAAAAATTTTACTATAAAGGAAAAACAAAATCGCTAACATCACTAATTCTCTGTCTGACTGCATGCATGTAAAAGCCAGTAATTCAGTCTATATATATAGAATAGGAAATATAAAATTTTGCGATTAGATTCTCTCAGACTGGTACAATGTTACTATCAGTGTATCTGATTATACTAAATGTAGCACATCTTCAACTTAAATATCTATGTAACAGTTGTGAATTTAGCAGAGTTTGTTATAATATGCAGTTAATATAATATATAAACATTTAGATTTCGTCTGATTACTTATAAATATTTATTTTTTAAATTATTTTTTCTCTCTATCACAATGGACTATTTTCTGTTTAAAGGTTAATTGGCCAAAAATAGCTAAGCTTTTTTCTTTATTTACATAGAAAGTTCAAGTTATTCATCAATGAAGTGTCAAAACTAATACAGGTAAACTCCATTTAAAATCATGCCAACAAACCAGTTTCTCCTGAAGTGTTATATGGGACATGAAAACACCTAAACAGAAATCTCTGTAAGGATTTGCACTTTTATATAAGGGGTGTGGCACACATGATCACAGATTTCCTCCAAATGCTTTATACCACAATGATTTTCTTCCAGAAATCATGGAAATAATTTTGGGAAAATCTGGGATGACATTGATGAAATGGTTTCCATGGCAATGAGATTTTTTTTAATGTGAATTTTTTGGCAATTTCAAAATTGAACAGCACAATTTTTGTGGCAAAATTGAACTCGATCCTTATCATTGCTGAACAATGCTGTTTTAAGGCATTCATTTTTACATTAATACTGAAAGTCCATGGAAAAGACGGCTATTCTAAATGTTACTATGGTAACAAATTAAATAAGTTAAGTTTATATATTTTGTCGTGGATTTTATTGAATATTCTTTTATAGCTCTATAAACTCTGCTTCTATAGTCATGAAAATTTTAATTTTCCTTTTTTTCTCCTTTATTTTTCAAATATATAAACATAGTTTTGATTGACCTATATTACTAAGATTCAATGGAATTCCAGGTTTCCAGGTTTTTAAGCAATTATAAATACTTATCAATCACTTCCTAATTATTTTTTTTGTTGATACTTTAATATACTTTATTTGCTCCTGCACAAAAACACAACAATTAAGGATACAAGAATACAAAATATCTAAAAATATTTTTTTTTAACTATCAAGGCCCATTGCCAATTAAGGAATAAAAAATGCCACATATATTAATTGCAAACACTTTTTAAGTTTGCAAGATGAAGATCTACTTATGTATTAACTTTTTAAGAAAAATCCATGATTATGTGTACGGTGCTACCAGAAAAATTAACCGAGATCTTTAATGTTTACGAGCCATTCTCTGTAAGCATCTAATAATTTTAAATTATTTTTTATATTACACATTTGCTGGAAAGATTTATACTATTTAGACCAACAATTGAACACTGAAACTGAACATTATATTCTAATGACTTGGTATTACTAAAAAGTTTACATGAATGTTTTTAAACTTACAGTTCAATATATGTCATCCCAGCCCATCCAGTAGTATTGACTAATCTACCTGCACTTTAAAGTCGTTGAAGCAGGTCAATGTATTTATGGCAATCAATCACTTCACTGAATCATATCTGAAATCATAAGTCAAAAATCTATATCTGGTCACTTCAAGCATCAACTGCTATGAATAAATGCTCAGCTTTTAACAAATTATATGCTAAAGGAAAAGTGGGTGTTAACACAATAACTACCTGTCTAAGAAGGTAAACTCAATGAAACATGAACGACTATTATTAACACATCACGATGTTCTCAATTATGTTCTAAAATTTGAACTTTTGGTTGAAAGCTTTAAAAGCACTGAGGCACGATTTAGTCTAAACTAAATATTTTACTAATGTACAAGTGAAGGATAATAGAAGACGGAATTCTGCACATATTCTCATCTCAAATTCACAACCTTTTGTATATAAAGGAAAATTGTTTTTCTTTAAATACTTTTTTAAAAACGTATAAAGTATTATCATGATTATTAAGCCTCTTCTTTTAAAGGATGTACGTAATTTCTTCATTACCTTTTCAACATTTAGTACAGCCATGCATTAACTGTAACAAACTTAAACTTTGATCATCCATTGTTGCCCCATCCTACCCCCCGGGGGGGGGGGGGGGGGGGGGGGGGGGGGGTCATGATTTAAACAAACTTGAATCTACACTACCTGAGAATGCTTCCATATAAATATGACTTATCATGGCTTAGTTGTTCTTGAGAAGAAAATTTTTAAAGATTATTCCTATTATACTCCTATGTAAAACTTTGATCATCAACTGAGGCCCCATCGTACCCCTGTGGGTCATGATTTAAACAAACTTGAATCTACACTACCTGAGAATGCTTCCATATAAATATGACTTATCATGGCTTAGTTGTTCTTGAGAAGAAAATTTTTAAAGATTATTCCTATTATACTCCTATGTAAAACTTTGATCATCAACTGAGGCCCCATCGTACCCCTGTGGGTCATGATTTAAACAAACTTGAATCTACACTACCTGAGAATGCTTCCATACATAAATATGACTAGTCTTGGGTTTGTTGCTCATGAGAAGAAGATTTTTAAAGATTTTTCCTGCATATACCTATATGTAAAAATTTGATCATCAACTGAGGCCCCATCGTACCCCTGTGGGTCATGATTTAAACAAACTTGAATCTACACTACCTGAGAATGCTTCCATACATAAATATGACTAGTCTTGGGTTTGTTGCTCATGAGAAGAAGATTTTTAAAGATTTTTCCTGCATATACCTATATGTAAAAATTTGGATCATCCATTGTAGCCCCGCCCTACCCCCTGGAGTCATGATTTGAACAAACTTGAACATACACTACCTGAGGATGCTTCCACATTAGTTTCATCTTTCATGACCAAGTGGGTCTTGAGAAGAAGATTTTTAAAACATGCCACCAAAATTTCACTATTTCTTAATTATCTCCCCTTGAAAGAGGGTGTGGCCTTCATTTGACCAAAATTTGAATCCCCTTCACCCAAGGATGCTTTGTGGCAAGTTTGGTTGAAACTGGCCTAGTGGTTCTGGAGAAGAAGTCAGAAATATGAAAAGTTTACAGACAGCTAGACGGACACTGGACAAAATGTGATCAGAAAAGCTCACTTGAGCTTTCAGATCAGGTGAGCTAAAAAAAGGGGGGATCAATTACTTTAAAAAAAAAAAAAGGGTTCAATTACATGAATCAGGCCTATCCTTGCTTTAAAACGAGGACTGAAATGAAAACATTTCCAAAATATCGTTTAATGTTCAGTGCTTATTGTGTGGTATTAAAAACCTTCTTTATGAACTTGAATTAACAAACAAGTTGAAAGTTCTTACCTCCTTTACTTCAGCAATATAAGCTTGAAACCAGTGTAAAACTTTTACTGGTGATAACGGTCAGTTTCGGAAGTTCAGTTGTTTACACCTCTCTAACTCCACTTCCGTTTGGTAGTTTTATACAAATGCCCATGGGAATCGAAGCTTACCTGGCTAGTGGATCTCACACCCGCATATTTAAAAATCAGCAAGCTATCTGTTGTTTGTGTTTACGAATAAGAGTTTAATATGTTTTATGGTGTGACCGTTGGGGCGAGCGCAGTTGTAGCATCAAAAACAATTACAAAATTGACATATACATAAGGCCAGATAAAATTAATCTTTAAAGTGCTGTGTTTTGCAAGTTTTTCAAAATAAATAGGTCACTGGTGAAATTCATCCCCGCCCGAAACCGTCATCTTTAAATCCCTAACTCAAAATGTCCCGAATTTTAATCCTTTCCTTTTGTTTTTGTTTTTTATTTTGATTTTTGGGTGTTAACAAAAGTTTATTCAGCAAGAATTCAGGTCAAAGTTTAAGAGTTACCTCCCGTATGTATTAAAAGTCGCGTGTCGCTATTTATAGTAAAAGAGCCATGTGAAGAATGGAGAAAAATCGGCAATAAAAACAGTTTAAACATGTAAGGAAAAGATAATTTGTCAGTATAGAGAAGGCAGAAAAGAAAAAAATAGCATACACACATCTAGATACCATCATTGGCATGAGCAAGTTTTTAGAGAGATTTAACTAGTAAGTAAAAATAGACGAGGAAAATGACACCTGGTCAAGTTTAAACGATCTCAATCTGTGTGTGATTTTGCTTTGAAAAAAATAAATAAAACATCGTTGGCAGACTTTAGAGAATGTTAAGTGCTAAGGAAATAATTAAACTTAGAACAGTTCAGGCCTAGGTTTTTCAGTAGAATATTTTATGAGAATATTTTATTGATTTTGCATACATGACCTATTTTAATGTCGAAATGTCAAGTCTCATAGATCAAGAACGATCATATTTTTGATTAAGGTGAAAATCTATGATATTGTACAGAAAACAGAGGGATTTGTTGGTAAAACTAAAAGGTATATTTGGGGAAAGGCCGTTGAGAAGTCATGCATACACAATTTATTGGTATACCCACCTCATTTTGTTTGGCATGTGCCGTATTTATGTGTACTTGATAATTTGTTAATTAACTGTAAATATTTAATTTTTTAAAGCAAGAATCTTCTTTAAATATTTAAAAGAATATGAAAAGAATAAAATCTATTCATATTGGCATTAACATAATGAAAAAAAGTGTACGAAGAGTCCATGTTTTGTTGATACTTACAATTTAACAATTATAAAAAATAAAAAATAAAATCCGCCCACCCGCCCCAAATTTTTAGAAAATTAGGATGAGAATCTAAAGATTAATTTTATCTGGCCTAAGCCGCACGAGACATCTCGACTAGCTGTGACGTTACATGACGTCACTGAGCTCGTCGGAGCTTATGGAGACAGCCGAGCGTCTTGTTGAAACTATTGATCTAGTGCAATTTTGGTCGAAAAACATTGCAGATTTATTCTTTGTTTCTTTGAAAGATTTCTACAAACCGAAAGCCTTTTATCCATTACATTATTTATTTATTTATTTATTTATTCGCGCAAATGACATTGGGTAGTGCAGGAATTCTGGGAATGTTTCACAGAGAAATTTGCCTGACGTATATGTACAGATTTCAATCCGAATTTCCTCTATACACGTTAGTCTATTGAGCTGCGCTCGCTATAAGTAAATGACTGAAAATTCTAATACCAAAACGTTTGCCAATTAACATCTGTTACATAGGCGTCGGAACCGGGGGGAGGGGGGAGGCTTAGCCCCCCCCCCCATCCCCACTTTTTTCCCCAAACATACAGGTAGTATAGAAATTAAACATATCTTCGTAGGTTTAGCCCCCCACTTTCCACAGATATGTCTGGGAAAGTGGTGGCGTTTGGAAAAAAAAATTGGTACTGAAGTTCGACCCCCCCCCACCCCCACCACCCACGAAAAAGGATTTTTCATGTTTGTGAAATGGACATTTCCCTTTTTTTTTTTTTTTTTTTTTTTTTTGGCTTGTCAGGTTTTTTTGAAGGTACAAAAATTTTTGTTTACACATAGCCCCCCCACTTTCAATTTGCTTCCAACGCCAATGTGTTAATTAATACATTCAACTCTCTGCGATTAACTCTTCAAACTTTAACTGCAAAATGTAATTAATTAAAGTTGAGTGAAATGAAATCTTAATTAACGTTTATTTTGATTTACCACACAATGAAAAATATAATTATTTAAAATAAAAACAAAAAGATTAATATATTCAATTTCAATTTGTTCTGGTAACGTAACTAACGTTATAGGACAAGGTCAAGACCAATGATAGCGAGAAAACCCAGCTTAATAACAGGATGTTGACAGCAGGTACCACTAATCGCAAATATTCCTCTGTATCATAAATAAAAAAAGATATCGAACACTCTGTAAGATCAGATTAAAATCAAGAATTAAACGCAGTGTTATAGAATTCTACAAAGATTTTTTTTTTCTTCTAGCACTTCTCAGCGACAAAATGCGATTTTGTCAGGCTTTCCAAAAAAAATTTTCCCGTTTGCAGCTGGGAACCTATAAGTAGTGTTTTTCTCTTTTTAAGTGGTGGAAAAATCAATGCCTGAATCATTTAGCTGTTGAAGCATACTCTGCTGAAAATAGAAATATTCTACTCCAATGATGTTATAATAATAGAAATTACAAATTGATATGAACTATTATCGACTTCTTATTAAACTATACACCACTGCAGCAGAAACTAGAGGTACTGTGAGCACTGAGCTCACTAAATGATACATGTACCCCGCCTCCCATATGATTATAATGCCATTGTTCATGTTTTGCTCCGGGAGACCCGAAATAAGTGTCAAATAAAAATAGCATAAAAGTAGGAGATGCACAATGGTATTTAGCTGCAATAGTGTAGCCCTCTTCCTTGGGGGGGGGGGGGGGGGGGGGGGGCTACAACTCCTTAGGATCTCTGTAATGGTGCAGCTGCGTGAGTGATTCGCTCCCGCACGGATTTCGGCTCAAATTGTCAGCATACAAATGGCTATTTTATTAAGACTCCAAAAATGTAGTTATCCAAGACATAAATCAATCCAAAAAATATACAGAACGATCCATATAGCGGTTATTTTTCGAGTATGTCAACATCACAACTTGAATTTATCCGCCATGATTATATACTGACCTTGGAGATTGTATTTTGGGACAGCCAATAAGAATTTAGGTTCTGTCAGGTTGTAAATTTTGAATTTACCGGGTGGCAGTAAATACAAAACTTACAACGTGACAACTTAAATTTTGTATTTACTGCCACCCGGTAAATTTAAAATTTACAACATGACAGTTCTATAGGAGAGGATCTTCTAGGTTGTTTGCGTAAAAATAACACTTGAAATGGTTTTAATTATGTTCCCCAAACGAAGTTGGGGAACATATTGTTGTCCCCCGCTTGAAAAGTGGGGGATATTAATTTGGGTTTGTTCGTCCGTCCGTCTGTCCGTCCGTCCGTCCGTCCGTCCGTCTTTCTGTCTGTCTGTAACGCTTTCGTTTCCACACGATATCTCGAGAACCCTTTGAGCTTTTGCAATGAAATTTAGCATAGCAACTCCCTGTGGACTAAAGAAGACCCCTATTGATTTTGAGGTCAAAAGGTCAAAGGTCAAGGTCATAAATAAGCAAATTCTGTCTGTTAAAACACTTTCGTTTCCACACGATATCTCTAGAACCATTTGAGCTATTGCAGTGAAATTTTATATAACAACTCCCTGTGGCATAATGAAGACCCCTATTGATTTTGAGGTCAAAAGGTCAAAGTTCAAGGTCGTAAATTTATACATTCTGTCTGTGTGAAATACTATTACTTCCGGGCGATATTTCAAGAAGCTTTTGAGCTTATGCAATGTAATTTTATATTAAAACTCCCTAGGACGTCTCTCGCCCCTCTCAAAGTGCCCCGCCCCGTTTGTTTTATTAGTATTTATAGTATTACATGTCGCTATTTTTAGCGCAGGGGCATGAGGAGAGTTATTGCGTATAAAACAGGTTCTCGGCGGACTTTATGTTCTTATTACATCTATTAGAACTGTTTAATAAAGGCTAAATAAATCAAACACCATGGATTGTGTAAAATTTTGAGAATACCGAACATGAAAACATGAATATATACATGTATGTGACTTCACTTCTGCATATACTTCACACCTTGCATAGTCATTCCGTGGTCTAGTAGTTATGTCTCTCGCTTCAAGTGTGAGAGGTCCCAGGATCGAATCTCGGTCGCACCTTTCTTTCTTTTTTTTTTAACTAAATGATAGTATTCAGCATGTGAAATGAAAAATTTATGAGGTTATAAAATCATCATTACAGTGTGATAAAAATTCCATATAAAGAAATCTTCTATACACATAATGAAGAATAAGCAATCAAATCTTTATATGCATATTGACATACATGTATTTTATTTGCTTCAGTATACATGTATACATTTGATAATTCTACAAATTCAGTCAGGGGGAGCCGACTTTTTCCCTAAGCGGGGGACACGAATTCTCTGAATTAGCTTGTATATAACAACTCCCTGTGGCCTAATGAAGACCCCTATTGATTTTGAGGTAAGATCAAAGTTCAAGGTCGTAAATTTATACCTTCTGTCTGTGTGTAATACTATCATTTCCGGGCGATGTTTCAAGAAGATTTTGAGCTTATGCAATGTATATTTATACCAAAACTCCCTAGGACGTCTCTCGCCCCTCTCAAAGTGCCCCGCCCCGTTTGTTTTATTAGTATTTATAGTATTACATGTCGCTATTTTTAGCGCAGGGGCATGAGGAGAGTTATTGCGTATAAAACAGGTTCTCGGCGGACTTAATGTTCTTATTACATCTATTAGAACTGTTTAATAAACTTAAGCTAAATAAATCAAACACCATGGATTGTGTAAAATTTTGAGAATACCGAACATGAAAACATGAATATATACATGTATGTGACTTCAGTTCCGCATATACTTCACATTGTGTAAAGTCTAGTGGTTATGTCTCTCGCTTCAAATGTGA